GTGTGTGTGGCCAGCTCAGCCCACCAGGGGGCGGGGCTGGCTGGCATGTGGTGCTGGGGGATTGAACCGCGGTCCCTGTGCTTTGCCAAGCTTGTTCTAAGTAGGTGCTTTAGACCACTGAGCCATCTCACCAGCCCTTTTAAACCTTTTAAAAATGAAATAGAACATCATTATAGTTTTTTATAGAACAGAATAATAATAGCTTTAAGTAAAAATTTGCCTTTGTAATTTTGTAAGAATTATGCCCTTTCACGTTACATTGCAGTAATAATTCTTTGAATATTCTTATCTTTCTTATTTCACTTTTAGTCCACAGATTGAGATTTACACTTTTCATACATAAAACAAGCACATTTTAGATAACAGCAATTATTTGTTGAATGTTCATTACTATATTTTAATAAATGAATGCGTATTTATTTTGCATAACGGGGACTGAACCAAGGGCCTCTCCCGTGCTGTGCAGGTATTCTACCACTGCACTGCATCCGCAGCCCTCCTCTTCTTTTTGACATAGCATCTTGCTAAGTTGTCCAGGCTGCCCTGGCACTTGTGAGCCTCATGCTTCAGCCTCTTAGTAACTGGGATTACAAGCATGTGCCTCTGCGCCAGGCTTGGAATACTTGAGATTGGAGGATATTTTAGTGTTCTAATGACTAAGGTCATTTTTTTTTAAGGTCATTTTTATTGGTAAGAATTTTTCCACTGTAAATAATCTATAGTAAAGCAAGCACAACTGTTTTGAATAGCTTCTCCATAAATGTTTAATGAAAAATGCCTGATATAGCCGTATATTTTAGAATTCTTTTCAGCAATTTTTTTTTCAGCAAATATTAAAGGGGCCCTAATATGCGCTTTGTTGGGCCTGGGTTAGATTTAAAAGTCATTCTTTATGACCATGAAAGAACTGTTAACATTTTTATATTGTAATGAAATAAATTTTGCTTTTTTTTTTTTTTTTTTTTTTAAGACAGGGGCTTGCCATGCAGTTCAGGGTGCCCTTGTGCTCACTTTTGTGGCCCCCAGGTTGGTCTCGAACTTGCAGCAATCCTCCTGTCTTAACCTCCCTGGTGCTGGGATTATAGGCGTGTACCAGGGATCAAACTCAGGACCTTGCGTTTGCCAGGCAGGCACTTAAAACACTGACCTATCTCTCTGGCCCTGTGGGGAAACTTAAATAATTATTTCAGTGAGTTCAGAGAGCCAGTATGTGACTAGATCCATAGAAATTGGCTTGGCCAGATTTACATGGTAGAGAATGTGGGTGAGGTCAGAGAGAGAGCTCAGCAGCGCAGCACCTGCTTGGCGTGCACAAGGTCCTGAGTTCAATTCCTGGTACAAAAAAAAAACCAGACAGTGGGTGATTTTAGAAGGCTCTTCTAACCAACCTGGCCTCTCAGAGCAGCAGCTCCAAAAATGTCTAAAATATACCTGAATGAAGGATTCTCGCTCCTAGAAGAACATTCTGGGAGGCTGAGGCAGGAGGATTGCAGGTTCCAGCCCAGCCTGGGCAAGTTAATGAGAACCTGTCACAAAAATGAAAACTAGAGGGCCAGCCAGATAGCTCAGAGGACTAAAGTGCCTGCTTAGGCAGAGTGCAGAGGCCGAGGTTTGATCCCTGGCATGCTGTACCAGCCCTGCCCCTGGGGCGCACTGAGTTGGCAATTGAGACTGGGCGTGGTGGTGCCTGTAATCCCAGCACTTGGGAGGCTGAAAACAGGAAAACCACTAGGAATCCGATCTGTGCAGTGAGACCCTGTAGACCCTGTCCTAAAATACATTTAAGAAAAAGAGAAAAGGCTGAGATTGAGGCTCAGTGTGAAGGCCCAGGGTTCAACCCTAGTTCCACAAGAAAAACAAAAAAGATGAGTAAATAGTGCACCTAGGGGCTGGAGAGATGGCTCAGTGGTCTAAAGCACCTACTTGGAACAAGCTTGGCAAACCCAGGGACCGCGGTTCAATCCCCCAGCACCACATGCCAGCCAGCCCCGCCCCCTGGTGGGCTGAGCTGGCCACACACACACACCACTCTCTCTCTCTCTCTCTCTCTCTCTCTCTCTCTCTCTCTCTCTCTCTCTCTCTCTCATAAAAAATAAAAAAAAATAAAAAAATAAATTAAAAAAAAAAATAGTGCACCTAAAAAATGCTACCCAGGGGCTGGTGAGATGGCTCAGTGGTCTAAAGCACCTACTGAGAACAAGCTTAGCAAAGCACAGGGACCACGGTTCAATCCCCAACACCACATGCCAGCCCCGCCCCAGGTGGGCTGAACTGGCCACACACACACACACACACACACACACACAAATAAATAAATTTTTAAAAAAATGCTACCCATAATGTGAAAATTTCATTTTTATATGTTTTTGTCATCTAGTCTTTATCCCATGCACAAATATTCCCTCCTAGTTATTATAGTTAATATGCAAATTTTGCTCAAGTTCTTTAAAAATTTAAGTTGGGGTAAATATTTTTCCATATTCCTTAATCACACTTTTTAAAGGCAGTTAAGTAATTTTTTTTTTTTTTTTTTTTTTTTTAGCAGAACCAGGGATTGAACTCAGGCCCTTACGCTTGCCAGGCAAGTACCTATTCTACTGAGCCATCACCCCGGCCCTGGCAGTAAACAATTAATTGATGTGTTAGGTGTATTATTATTTTTCCATGGTTGAGACAGGGTCTCGCTATGTAATTAAGTCTGGCCTTCTCTGCAAAGTCAACTAAGAGGTTTTCAAAAGAATTATTTGGGGGCTGGGGAGATGGCTCAGTAGAATAAGTGCTTGCCTGGCAAGCGCAAGGGCCTGAGTTCAATCCCTGGCTCCACAAAAAAAAAAAAAAGAATTATTTGTACAGGGGGCTGGGGAGATAGCTCAGTGGAGTAAGTCCTGAGTTCAATCTCCAGTTCCCCCCAAAAAAAAAATTTATATGTACAGTCTGTATATATTAAATCATACTTTTTACTGTGTTATAATTGCAGAGCCACGGATCTACTCAGTTGTGCAACTGACCTCTAACCCCTTTCCAGGCAAATAGAACAAGGACTCCAAAATTGATTTTTTTCCTCACAAGTCATTAGCATTTATTTCCTGGGACTTGAGTCACTTCTCTTGGTAGAAAGAGCAAAGAATTGGTCTGTTAGTTGTGAAACCAAATTCCTCTGGCACATGTGGATCTGTGAGCTGCATCAAAGATCTGTGTTGACCTTCAAGTGTCCCCTCCCTGAGTTAGCCTCCCTCTCTGCTGAGAAAAACCTAATGTTGTTAGAGGGGTGGGAAAAGAGGCGCAGTGCTAGACCTGGCTGTCCGGTACCGCTGAGGGGGCTCCCTGAGGGCTGGCACCTGCAGGCCAGCTGCAAGAGTACGCCCTGTGGCTACGGTGTCTGTGGGGCCCCTGCACTCTGAGTGTGGCTTTGAAGGTTGTGCTCCAGCTTGCCGGCCTGGATGCTATC